ACATGCAACTTTAAAAAAGAGAATTCAGAACAAAAACAAAAGGTCATTGATTAATTGTCCCCATAACTAAAAAACACCGTGTAGCAAGAACTGTAAAAGTTCGTATAGAAACCACCACATCTTTCACCATTCCTTGAAGGGGATGATGATATTTCACTTTCCCTGAACAATAGCAGAGAAATTTGCTCTGAGATCCTGGGCTACTTCGAGGCTAGACATGTGGGATGCAATTATTTCCTCTTTCATCAAGCTCTGGAACTACCATTTTGTTGAAACTATATCCTTTGGCTGTAATGATACCTTTTTGGAGTCAGGTTTTTGCACAGAAAGGAAAGGATGGGAGGATAAAGTAGCAGTCTGCCTTCTAGTGCTTTTGGGTTTAATTTGCAGTATGAATACGAGTGTTGTTTTGTCAACATAGCAAAGATTTTATATTTTGCAGTTCTTTTATTTGCTATGGAAAAAAAGTACTAAAACCTGAATAAAGTGTTGCAAAAGATCCACTTCAATAATGAGAGGACGTTGGCAAACCTTTAAGCCTCAGAAAGGAAGCATCAAATACACATTTGCCTACCCAGTGATAAATGTGGAAATTGGGTGTCAGCGCTTTTAATTTAACAAAGAAGTTGGCATTTGTAATTAGGACAAGAGGGTATAATTCCGATGCAGCAGTCTTCACTTAGGCAAAATTGCCATTGACTGCATTTCCATTCTGTGACTTGACTGAGTTTTGCCAGAGTGACAGGCACGAGGTAAAGCATTACTTCATATTAAGAACCAATAATGAGTCCTCTCCTTAACTATTTCGCCAATTATTTAATACAGGAAATCAGAAGAGTGAACATCGGGAGATTTCTGAGGTATTCACATTTTAAACAATATTGCATTGTTATGGCAAACACTCCATCTGCAGCACCGGAGACAAACGTAGGAATAACCAACGTTTTATCCTCAATTGAGATTCGAATTCAAAAAACAAAATAAAAAAACCCCAACCCCTGAAGTCTGGCAGGTTAAAACAGCTCATATTTAAGCAAGCATTTCCTTCAGTTTTCAACCAGGATTAAAATATTAATGTCAGATACTGCAAATAAGTATTGCCCTCAAAAATTGCACAACGACAGACACTGTTAGAAGAAATGCAAATTAAAAAGAATAGCTGTCCCACCGCTGCAAATAAAAAGGTAAAGTCTGAAAAGAATAGATACAAGCTTTGTAAAGGTGGAGTCCACTGATGGAACCCTGGGCTAAATTGAAACCAGTGCTGTCAATGTGATGCTTCCTTTCGTTTTATTCTCTAACAGAGAACAGGTAAGGAACATATTTAAGTATCAGCACTGGAACAAAAGAAAACAAAATTGACTGTGAATGGAAAGTCAGAGTAACATGGGGGAGGGGGAGAGAGGAGGTCGACAGCCCTTTAATTATTTGATCACAGTGGAGCCATTTATTTAATCCAGTAGAGCCATTTAATCCACTTGGATAGGTTCTGGGAAGACAATTCCCCCTGTAGAGGTGGATGCCCTGTTAACCAGGTCACAGCATGAAACTATAATGAGCTGGCTTTTCATGTCACCTCGCAACTGCATACGGCACATATAGTCTGGCGTGTCTTGATGATCTTTAAATGTTGCACCCTTGTCTTTTCAGCATTAGTTAGTCTAGTAAACTCAAGCATGTGTTTGAAAAGGGTGGAGGAGATTATTTTTTTCTCCTTTTAAGCGCATGTGATCAACATGATGAAAAAGAAATGAACAGAAACCGAAAGATGGTTATGTCTGAACATTTGTTTTGCTATTGTGGCAGTATACAGAAAACGACAACGAAATCGCGCCTTCTTTGGGGGTGCTCTTCTAAATTACATCACTCGTGGACATAAATAGACTTCGTGGGTAAGATCCTGCAGTCAGTGGGAGCTTCCTCTGCATAAGGTGTCCCGGAACGGGAGAGATTAATTTTTTGACAATGCTTTCCCTGGTTTAATTAATCTATGGAACATAATGATGGTGTAGCAGATGCAAAAACCTTTAGCTTATTATCCTCTTCCTGCGCTCTGTCACTGCTTGGGGAACTGGCCACAGCTCACATTTTGTAACTACACCAAATAAAATGCTTCCTCTTATACAGAAACCACATGGGTATTTGGGCTTTTCATTTTATTTATTTTCTAGGGGTTTGCGTTTTATTTGGTAGATAAATACTCACGTGGTTTCAATGCACTTGGACTCCATGCACCTTAGCTGTAAATGAAAATAAACGGCATCGCTGCTCTGGAAATCCTATAAAGTTTGATCGATGATAACTAGGTCTGGCCAGCAAGAATGAAGCTATTGATGCTTCATGTTTTGTTAAAGAGAAAAGAACATTAAAATGCATACTTTTAGGGAAAATAACCAGATTTCAATAAATAGCTAAAATAGAGAGCACTTAATCTCCGGGCTAGTCTAAACAGCAATTCCAAGAAGGGTCCAAATACCGGATATCTCCTAAACTTTTATAATATTTAACTACTAGAGTCAGAGGCTGAACATTTCAAAGCAATCTAGGGGATTTAGACACACTCTTCCATGTAAAATCAATGGGTCTAAATCCCATAGACTATTTCGAAATTTCCACTCAGAATCTTTACAAAGGCTAAATGAAATGTTGTCATCTTATTCTGATTTCAATACTAGCCATCACAGAAAAAAAAATTATTGATACTAGTGGCAGTCTGTGCCTCTCACATGGCTTGCCAGCCAGGCAACTGCAAATCCTAGACAACTCATTTGTTGTGCACCATATTCTAACTTCTGCAGAACATACGAAATGAATATTTTTTTCGGTGAAGAAATCAGTTCTGTGCATTTCAGACATACTTTAAAAGGTTTTGCCAGGTTTTGATGTACACCTATTCTGGACATTTGGCCCATTTTGCACGCAGAGTTGTCAAAAGAAAGAAACTGACGCTCGGAGTAGACAGATAACAGAGAGGGGAAATAGTTTATTCAATACAGTCTCCGTGTCAGGCTCATTCTCTAGGATGGTGTTGGTAACCATTTCACTGCTGTTCTGGCTCTGGTATGCTTAGAGCATGCTTGTTTGTGGGAGAACAACTGGTACATGCTCAAAAATGTCGTATTTGGGGTTACTGATAATATATAATCATATATATATAATATAATATAATCATATAAACTACAACACCAGTTTGTTACAGGGAGGGTATTCGGTTTTTAAACACAGTAGGAGCAAATGCATCTCTCGGTCACACAGCCCCCCCCCCATCCCCCCCAAGTTTATGGAGTTTAATTCCACTTCTTTCTTCGTTTTACCATTCCGTAATAAAATGTCACTTCAAAAGAATAAATTGCATGACTTCGTTTTGCTTTCTAGAGCGTTAATCTAGTCATGTATTGTAACGCTATAGATAACACCGGTCCTAATTCTACAGTTACAGATGGGCAAATCACGTTAGTTCAACTATGCCCGTGAAATGTTCCAACCTCATTCAGGAGGTTTTGCAGTGCCAAGTTGGGAAGGTTTACTGTTTAAACATGGATATGACTCTTCTTTAAAAGGGTAAACATTTTAAAATGTATCTGAATGGTCAATCTGTAAAAGAATGCTAGAAATAAAATAAAAAACAATTGTCATAAACTCTGATTTACATTTATCATAGTTACACGTAATAAAATCATTACTCACATACATATAAATATGTATATGAGAGAGTGGGCTGGAGAGCGGGACGCATATATGTATGTACTACGAAGAAATATGACAACTTAGAGGATCCAACTTAAACCTTAAACCCTTTGAACAATGCAAAGCGTTTCCCCTTATTCCCTAAGATTATATTTTTTCCAGATAATGTTAATTATACTAAGGGGTGATATTGAACTTGTAGATGAACATGATTAAATAAAACAAAAATAGTAACGATTCTGATAATATAGGAAGAGAAAATGTAAACATTTTAGAGACAGTCTGTAACCTTAGCGGCATTTGGAGGATTCCTGTATTGCATAACAGACACCTAAAGAGATTAGGCTACACGTTCTTAAGAGATGCTTTCACGGTATTTGGAACACCCAAGTTAAAGAAAACTCGTGCAATTATTTGGGAACTAACATGAGAAAACACACAATTGACATGTGGACTAAAGAAAACTATAAAGATGAGAGACCTGGTGTATTTCCGCTGCATTTATGCTAAATTGCCTGCTGTACATATTTCTCTCTCGGGGCTCCTTTTCAAATTCCAATTCTTGGAAGCTAACGTGTCTTTCTTCCCCACAACTCTCCTCACTAACAAATACAGTGCCCCATGATTTTTCCAAATAAGGGAAACACCCAACAGCGCAAAAAGCGAGAGCAATTGTTCATCACAAACTTTTCACTGACCTCTTAGTTACTGACTGACTTTGCAATCTGTTGAGACACACGTTAGGTGTAAATACTCTTTATTACCTATGCCTATGAAAACATAATAATGTAGTCAACAGCGGGAACACTGAGAACTTAAGTAGACTGCCTCCAAGTAATACAGGGAAGAGGGAACTAAACAGCAGGGGCAACTGCTCCTCAAACTTTCATCTTCTGATAAAGAAAATCTTATTCTATGTGGAATGTGAGCGGTGTGTGTGAAGATGCCTCCTGAACCGCTCAGAGATACCAGGCATGTTGGCAAAGGACTATAACCCCCCAAACAAGCTACTTCATTTTCTCCGACTCCCGCGCACACGAACTCCAAGCCGGTAAAACACTAGGATTCAAAGGATTATCTGTTTGATTATTTTTCACTCGGGCAACTCATCGCTTTCTGAAAGGACCCTTTGAACTAATGTGTAATTTGCAACTCGGGGCGGGGGGGGGGGTATAACAACAGATCCTTTCCTCCACCAGCTTCTCTCACAGTGTTTCAGATGGTGGGGGGGGGGCAGCCTTTCATAATCAACCAAATTTCACCAAACTAAGTCGTGCGTTTCTAGCTGTCCAGTCCCTTCAGCATCTTCTAAACACGAGCTTTTGAAATAGTACCACCTACACGGCACCGGAGCGCGCAGCCTGCAGTCCACAGAGCGGACGATTTGTTTAAAATACACGATCCAGTGGCTGAGGCTTGCGTTCAAAGCAAGCGGCAGCCGGAGGTCTCAGGCCGCGCACACAGCTAGAACGCAGGGCTTTGGCGAGATCAGTGTCTTTCCATTGTCATCCTCCCCTTTAAAAAAAAAAAAAAACAACAACAACAACAACACGGGAGGCGGATTGCAGGGACTGGCTGCCCAATGGCAGCTTGGAGTCTCTGGAGAGTTAGAGAGAAAAAAAAATAGAGCGAGAGAGAGAGAGCGAGAGAGAGCGGCACTTTCTGCCCTCCAAATCCCTTAAACCATCCTCATTCCACCACGCGAACCCACTCTCGCGCAGCGCCCAACCCCCGAGACATGCCGGGCAGCATTCCAGAGCCAGCGGCAGCGGCGGCGGCGGCAAGCGGCAGCGGCAGCCGATACGCTGCGCGGGGAGCAGCGTTAGCACCAAGGGGAAACTAGGCACAACACTGCAAACAAACCAACCCAAACAAGCCCCCCCACGCCCCAGGGACTGGAGGCCAACTCAGATCCAAGCCGAAAAGGCCACAGCTGACACCAAAACGGGTGGGGAATAACCATCGGGGGGGGCCAGAAAGGAATACCCAAGGAAGCGAACTCCACGAGTGTAAACGGGATTCAGCCATGCTCCTTTTTTCATCTCGCAGTGTTTTACTCTCAGTGTATTACCCTCAGATTTTCCTCATCCTTACCAGTGGGAGTTACCTGTAAGTGATCCAGATTTTTTTTTTCATACGCTTTACAATGACCCCGCTAGCTGCCTGGGGGCAATCTGACCGAAGGGAGCCGGGATACCTAGCGTTGTGGCAGGTCTGTGAAATGTGTGATGATGCTGATGTTTTTTTTAACTCGGTCAGGGGGGCGGATGCAGCCAGGTAGCCGGAGAAGCTGCTCGTTTCTCCCCAACGCGGGATGCGGCTTTCCCTAAGACCCGGCAGAGCACAGACCACATCTCGCCCAGTGTTTTACGTTATCGCGGGCAGGTGACATTTTGTCAGCTCTTGAATGATGGGGAAGCGCACCTGACCTCCCAGGAAGAAAGGACCTAGGGGCCAGCTTTTCCCAGAGGAATTGCAAAACCCTCCGGGAGGGCAATATCTCTTTATGTTCTTAAAGGGAAGACACACAGACGTAAGGTTATACAGCCCGGGGCATCTGTAGGGAATAAAGCAGGACTCATCAAAGCCAGTGAAAACAAAGCTAGGTTGGACAAATGCACCCACCGCTACGGTGCTCTAACTGGATGCTTTTCTCTTCTCTCTGGTCTGATCTAGGAGTTAGACCGGGCTCCAGATCCCTTTCCCGCGCTCGGAGGAGGAAGGGGCTTGGGGGGGTGGGACTGGGAATAGTTTCGGTCCTTAAATAAAATCCCTGTAATCACATAGGTGCTTTCTTGGCTCCCTGTTCACCCTGGAGTGAGTGCGGGCGCTGGTGGTCCTAAAGGTCTCCCAGCAGGTTGGCTGGCGGTCCCTGGTTTTAGACTGTCAGGTGTTTCTGACTGAAAAAAAAAATCAACCTCAGGGCCCCATTAGCTTTCCTGTCTGCCTGAAAGTCATCCCGCGGGTGGCTCACACGTGGAAAGGGCTAGAAACTAACTGCGCCCTGGGTGAGGGCAAAAATGTCAAGTGCCTCTGATCGCCCAACGCCATATGGGTGCTAACCACATGTAATGTGGAGAACAGAAGTAGCCGAGGACAGTTCTGGGGTCTGGTCCTTCTACATTCCTTGAGCACCTTGAACTCCGCTGACTTCACGGGAGGTTTGACACGTCAAATAAAAAGAATGCAGGATCGGGCCCGGCAGTAGGCACGTTTCGGTAGGCAGCTGCCGGGGTTACCTGGCTCTGTGGTTCAGGGAGGCTGCGAGGTCTGCCAAAGACGGTACTAGTCCGTTCAAGAGCTATTCAACCTGCACCTTCAGCCTAAGAAGGAAAACCTGTTTCAGGATTCCTGTTTCACGCTCACTTTATATTTACAGTGTCCTGATCAGTGCCTACTTCTTTATGATGCCACGAATATGGATTTTAAATTTTGCCCCCTGAATTGTGTGTGCATGTATATTTTTTATATGTTTGTCCTCTTTCCGTTTACACACACACACACACACACACACACACACACAGAGTGTATATCTCTAGTTTCTGGTAGTCCATGGAAAAACAGAATTCCCCACCCTGGAAGAGAAGAAAGCATAAACACACCCATCAAAAGAAACGAAACATGTCTGTTTCTGCATTCTTAATTCTTAATGAAATGCACATGCCCTGGCTACTGATTTCCGAGGACGCTTGATTTATGGAACCATATTCGGTTTAATTTAGTTGGATGCTATTGATCAAACCAAATAGCTAAGGCTCTCTGTTTTTCCCATGCGGGTCCTGTCTCCTGGTAGGTAACCATTTCCTTATAAAATACAGCATTGGCTTCTTTTCCAGAAGGTCAAAAGTTATAATAAATAAATAAAAAACCCTTTTAATATAAACGTAGCCATATTTTTCTCAAAACCGTAGGAAATTACTATCCTACCAAGTTTTCCTTCTATAAATAGTTCAAATCTTGAAACAAAAGTTTTAAACCACACACCAGATGCTGGGATGCTGGCGGTTTCCCTTGCTGTGTGACATAATTATAAGGTCCGAATGCAAAAGCTATAGAAGTATAATAATAATACTAAGGCAACTGCTGAGGGGGAATACAAGGGAAGCAAGGCATGCTTTATTTAGAGCTAACTACTTGGAGATCTTCTGAGCGCTCATCTGTGACCATGAGAATTTGCTGGGGATAAATAATGCCCTCTCCCTTCCCTGTGCCATCCCCAGTTCATCCTCTGAGTCAGGTCACTTGTTCCGCTGCCTGCAATGGACTTGGGGAGTTAGAGCGAGATCTGAGCTTTGGTCCCTATTGCAATCAAGTAGAGCAGAAAGGAAAGGGATCAGAAGGTGACACATAACAAAGCAAAGCCGAAATCAACAAGCACGTCACTTGATTAATAAATCCATATGAACGCAGCCTTGTGTCCTGGAGAAGAAAGCTGATCAGACTAAACAAGAATGTAATTGCAATCCACACATCTGTGTGCAAGCAAGACTTCGCTCCTCTCCTCTCCACCCGTCCCCAGCAAGAATGTTGTTTAAACGCCTGAAATTCCTCTATTTCCATCAAATGCGTGCTAGCATTAGTTAGCCTGCCCCTTTGTGCAGGGCCCCGGACAATGGGTTTTGCACAGCTAAACTCTTCCCTTCCAATAAAGTGTGGGAAACCTTGACATATTGTGATATCTTGCGGGGTATTTTTTTTTTTTGACAGTTAAAATAGAGAGAGGTTAGTTAGTTGAGTGCCTACTGGATTTGTGTTGTTTATCTTGTGGACAAACATATGTCTCTGGTTTACTAATGATAGCGTTTGAAGATTAAGGCACGGTAGAGGCTGTTGGAGTATTACCTACAGGGGTCTCTTTCCGTTTGCATTTGTGTAGGGAGGCTGCTTCTCCCGTTGCTAAGGGACTGCCAGTGATGAGGTTCATTTCCCTACGGATCTTTCTAGTCTGTTCTGATGCACACAAGAATATGACTGCTTCTGTTGACAAGAGAATTGTATACTTTGTACTGAAGGGTGCAAAACTCTGGCTTCACGAAGACTTGGAGGGGGGGGTCGCCTGTTTCTAGGCGGGCACCGCATAAAGGCACAAAACAAAAACCATGTAATCAGAACAAATAGTGTATTTCGAATGTGTTTTAGTGCACTGTAGGCTCAGTGATATGGTTTCATTGGTTAGGCAAGCTGAAAGTAGGTTGCAATTAGTTTTACCCACAACTGGTCAGAAAAGGGACACCTTAGCAAATAAATCTGGGTCTGGTGAATATGCGCTGTGGCAAAGTTGTTATCTTGGTGTGCATGTATCAGAATAATTGTATCATCCTAAACATTTGTGACCAGAAAGAATTTATGATTTAAAAAGAAACACAACTCAAATAAAACTAAGCTGCTGGTAGACAGATTTTGGAAAGACCATGATAAATGAAACATGTAACATAAAGCTGGTTCTTAATAATATCAATCTGATTAGTGTAAATGTCTAAGAGAGAAGATCAAGCATAATACAAGGTGGCACCTTTTCCTACAAGGGGGATATACGTCGTTCCTTGGTAGCATCTTCTAAAATAAAGTGGTTGTATTCTAACATTTGGAGGTAATAGCTGTGTAATTTTTTTCACTGTTCACCTTCCCTATGGCAAGATGAATGCATTGGTTGGGGATTCATTTCTTACAGCTTGTAGAACATGGGGATATGTACTGGCATACGAGGAGAGTTTGTTCTGTCAGAGATTTATTTGATGGGAATGGGAATTACCCTTTTGAACACATAGAGTAACAGAACAAGCCTCCATGCTGATTGTACATTAAAAACAAAAAAGAGAACGGTCTACATTAGTGAGCAGCACCCAGTGCTGGCTGGTTTCATAATGTAGAGAGAGAAAACTGCCTCTGTATGAGTTAGTTAATGTTTCTGATGGTGCCACTTCTGATACCCTAAAAGTTCGTAATTCCACATCCTCTGCTACTGGGGCTACTACATACTCTAAGGGGATGGGTTAAAGGGGGTTTCTTGGTTTTTCATGTAGCAATAGGAGAATAATACTTCCGAACCCTTAAAGATTAGGGCTGTTGGTCACTAAAGATTTTCATCTGCTCTGTGTAGCTTTGTAGGGAGATGCACACAAAGCATGGTACATTAGATAGAGTACTGGATTTAGATTTATTCCTAGCTCAATCACTGAGATGCTGTGTAATCTTGGGAAAGTTACTTCATCTCTTTGTTTCCCCCTCTCATACTTTGTCTATCTTGTCTAGTTAGACTATATGCTCTTTGGGGCAGGGATTGTCTTTTACTAGGTGTTTGCACAGTGCCTAGCGCAGTTGGGTCCTGATCTCTGTTGAGATCTCTAGACACTACTGTAATACAAATGATAAATAATAAGAGGCTTTTGAATGAGATTCCATACTGCATGGTTGTTGTGGGATATGTTGTCTTAGACATAAGAAGAGAGTGGCCTTTCCTAGCACACACATCAGAAGAGAGTGAGTTTCCTAGCACGCACTACAATAAATACTTTCTTGTGAGCAAGATGGCTGAAGAAGACTTGCATGTCCCTCAGAGTGTTAAAGTCAATGTGAGGTTGGTTGGTTGTTTTAATGGACTGTTCCCACACATTAAAGCTGTCACATAGAGATATGAAGCCTAATTTCAGAAAAGCTGAATACCCAACAGCTCCAGCTGAAATCAGTGGAAGTGTGGGTTCTTAGCGCTTCTGAAAATGAGGACCCCATTTCTTTTGGAGGTAGGCCCAAACTAAACATCTTGTTGCTCTGATGAAGTTTGGAGCCAGATTGTAAATCTACGACTAGGTCCCTCTCTTTGTCATAATCTAGGCCAAACCCCCAGATTCTGAACTTCAGGGAAATTCAGTTATGGATCCAGACTTTAGACTTTTAATAGACACCTAACAAAACAGAAACAGTAGGTAATCAAAAGAGTCAAGTGCTAAATAACAAAGAAAAGAGCGTGTCTACATTCATTGTTCATAATCTAGGATGGTACCTGAAATTATTACACAGACTGCTTTGGGGACAGATTCAAATAAATACAAAATCATTTTAATTATTCAGGTGAGCAGGGAAAATGGTCTAATGCAAAGATGCTAGCATAT